TTTGTGAATTTTGTTATAACAACATGTATAAATTAGGGGGTATATATTTCTTATATAATGTCAGAAGTCTTCTCATGTTATATTTACATCGTTTTAAGTGTTAATATTTATAATTTTTTTTTCCAGTGGGGCCCATAAATATGTGTGTGCTATAAAAATTCTCTTTTTATGTTGTATAAGAATTATAAATCCCATAAATTATACAAAATCATATATTATAATTTTAATGAATTGATAAAATATTTTTAAAATAAGTAAGAATGTCTCCATCATATGAAACAAATAGCCAAGTATCTTAACATCACAAACGGAGCACTCACACAAGATTACTGGCCGCGGAGAAACTGATACATCCCATCAAAACAAAAAACAAAAATCAATATATCATTTATCGTTACACTATTCAAAAGATTTTAATTTATAACATATTCGTTAAAATGCTACCTTTTTTCATTTTAATACATTTTAAAAAAAAAGTTACAGTCTTTTTTAGTATAAAAATATAATGTTTGTTAATCTTTTATTAAAATTTATATAGATTTTGCACATGACATTAAAAATTATAACAATAAGTAATTTTGTGACACTGACTTGATAAAATAAATTGATACTTCAAACATTGGTTATAATTGTAAAATGCTTATTAAATTTAAACAAAATTTTCATCAAATTACTAAAAAAAATAGTAATTGTATATAGCAGTGAATGAGAGTATTAGACTCCTTATCTCCATCTTACTATATAGCTAACAATGTTAGCTAATAATCTCAATTCTCACTTCTCAGCTACAGAGACAAGTAAAATGCTGATCACCAAAAATAAAAAAAAATAAAAAAATGAAGAAAGGCTATGTTTGAAGTGGGACCATATTCATTGTTGAAATAATGTTACTTTTGCCCCCACATGGCTCTATCATTATGCCTCCAAACAAACACCATTAACACCCTCTGCTCCGTTCTGGTTTTCAATTTTCAAGTTTTCAAGCCACTGTGGATTCCCACTTTAGGTCCCCCCCACAGGCCACACTGCCCTTAAGCCACTTGTACGTCGTGTCCTTTTGATGGGGCCCACACCCAGTTCGTCAATTAACCGGGTCCTACCGGTTGCTGTTAGAATGGGCTTCAGCTAGTAGCCCATTTATCTTTGGACTCTTCTTACTTTTTGCGGCATTACATCACAATTCACAACGGTAAAAATCGTCCGATTCTGACGTATTATTCATTATAACGTTTTTCCACCCTCTCATGCCGAACTGCAGAGCTTACAGTGCAAGGTTGTCAAATGAATAATTATGTGATTTTCTAAATTTTAAATCTTTTCATCAATTTTATTCTCATGTCTTGACATGGAGAAAATAAAAATAGATCATGAACTATCCAGTGCTCAAGAGAATTGAGTATGTATCCTGCAAGGGGTGTAGTATATTTATTTAGGGATATCCTTTAATAGTAATGGCATAAACCAAGGCTTTTAAGGAATTTCTCAAGTGATATATACTGACTGTGAGCGGTATTTAGTGTCTATAGTGGCTCTTCATGTGAACATAGTAACAACTTATAGTTATAGAATATTGGTGATCCCTTAGTAAGGGGGGTATTTATAGGGTAAGGTTTGATCTTCAGCGTGGAGAGAAAATAAGACAAGACGCATTGCACCTATTGTCAATGTACAATGGTTGTTTGTGCATGGAAGAGGAGGAGAGTATTCTTGAAAATAAGAAAAGAGGAGACAAATCATACCATTATAGCCTAGTCTTGCTAAGACAAGACGCATTGCAGCTATTGACAATGTACAATGGTTATTTGTGCATGAAAGAAGAGGAGAGTATTCCTTGGAAGGTGTTGTTTGTCTTCTTGGGCGATACCCTCGGTAGACCTTCAAGTATGAGTTCATCTTATTGAAATTGGACCATAGGGCCAACCAATTGGCTGACAGGAATAGATCAATTAATTAAGTTCAGGTAAAAACACAAATTACAATCTATTATGATTATTATTTTTTATCATCAAATCAAATTTAGATCAATGTCTTTTAATGTCCTGTAATTTAAGAACGTTGATTTGAAATTAATCTGGCACTACTAAAAAGTAAGATATCGTACACATACCTGGTGTTAAACATAATCAGACTCAAGTGTAAAACAATATGCGAGTCCAAAATCATTTTTCTATCACTTGCATTTTGGTTATTGATTTTTTTTTTTTTTTTTTGGTTAAATGGTTATTGAATTTAAATCGTATGTTTGGGTTAATGAAGATTACTTGGTTACTCTCTATTTTCGTTAAGCTATCACTATTCTCAATAATTAGCTGTTTTATATTTATATTTGTAGCTCAATTTATAATTTAAATAAGTGAATATATTAATAAATATTAATAATTTATTATTGAAGAGTAGCAATATTCTAAAAAGAGAGAAAAAAAAGTTGATAAAGAAACCTCATAAGCAATATATTTTATAAGGTAGGATATTTATATTACTAATTTTTACACAATCATTCAATTATCATTCTAATTATCATTGGATTAAAGGAAAAGTTGTATGAAGATAGAGAAAAGAAAAATATTTTTTGAATCCAATAGTGATTAGAGTGGTAGTAAAAAAAAATTGTAGTATTAAAATCCTACCTCATATTCTATTTAATATTGTGAATCAAAACCCAAATGAAAAATACTTGAATTCAAAATCTCTAACGATATTTGAATAACTTCAAGTTAGAAATATTGAACTACAAGTTTAAAAATTTTCTCGTTTGGGGAACGGGAATTAATTTGCTAGTTGTTAATGATTAAAATGTGATTAAGACATTTTTGAAAAGATACTGACGACGGACTTAAAAAGAACATCAAGCCAAAAAAGCTCGATAGCATGTGATTAAGATTGAAAGTGGAAATGAAGCTTTTGAGCAGAGCATCATGTTCATTTGTAATAATAGAGGTGAAAGTCAACACTCACAAATTCGTTGGTCTCATTTCCAATTTTCCATCGTACCATGATATGGATCCATGGTATTGTGTTTTTCTAACATGTTTACGCATAATGAAGCTTGCAATTCATTGTGTGTATCAATTCCTTCCGTCCTCTATTTTGTTGCAAAATACATTAATTACATATGCCAAAATGCAACAAACAAAATATTCATATTCCTTGTACCAAAGAAAAAAATATTCATATTCCTGTCATTATATATTTCATGGTACATAGGTAACGGAACAAATATATTTGATATTGCAGGAGGTTTGAAATGGTATATATATACAAGTTATTAAATTGTATTTAAATTGTTATAAATAATATATAAAGGACATTTGAAATTTGTACGCACTATATCTCATTAATCACAGATTGGAGATTGCGGCCACATGGTCTCATTTCAAAACGAGTTTCTGTTAAAATACTCATGTTCAGGTAATTGCATAGTGCAAAGTAATCTCACTTCTCTAAATTCATCCCCGTTAATGAAAAGTATAATTTGATCCATTTACTAAATTTAAAAAAAAAAAGTATAATTTGATCCTACCCCTTAAAACTAATTTATAATTCCTTACCTTTTGTATGAAAAAATTGAGGAAGGATCTCTCTTTAGCAATCAAGCTTTAGGAATAATCTTTTTCACCAAAAAAAGTTAAATTTTTTTGGAATAATCTCTTCTTTTTCTATAAGCTGTCAGACACACATTCAAATGCATTTTATACATGAGATGTCTAAGAACAGACTATACAGAACATGTTTGAAATTTATTTGAAAAACAGTTTTTGATTTTCGAAACAAAAAAACTCGTTTAACAGGACTTATTTTGTAAAAAAATAAATAAAAATTATAACTATTTTTTTGTTTTTATAATCAAATTTAGAGAATATATCTGAGTTATTTTTGTTTTATGTTTTAATTTTTAAAATAAAATAAAAAATAAAAAATACTTATTTTATTAACTATTATAGAAAACAGTTTTAAGAGAAAGAAAAAATCAGAACACAATAAAAAATATCCATAAATTCCTAGTTTTATACGTTTCTCTAATAACAAAACTTGAGTTCTTTTAAAAAATAAAAAATAAAAATCCACAACTGTGGAGAACATCAAGTGACAACCTATTTCAAATCATTGAATCCTAATTTATCTAACTTAAAATTCTATGTCCAAATCGTGCATTGAATAAAAGAAGGATAGATTTCATACAATGAATAAAAAAAAAGCCAACTGCATTTTACAACTTGATTTTTTAAACATCTATCGGTGCAAATTACATAATGGAGATAATTCAATTTGTTTTTTCTAATTCTCTTTTTAAACCATGTCTTAACTCCTTCCTTCTTCATCAAATTGAGATTTAATTATAAGTCTTTACAACCGTAGCAAAAGATTTTATCAACCCCACAAAATCATACTATATAAACTGTACTGAACGGAAAGAGTTCACTAATAATTTTCTCATAAATTAAGAATGAATTTAATCACTTGTAATTTATTCTCAACTATAGCTCTGAATTAGTGCTCAAAGCACACTAGTCTCTTAAACAACAATGTGTCAACCTTTGTGGTTCGTTCACTCCGAATTAATGTTATTGAAATGACGGCCTAAGCAGATGGGAATGTTGAGGAAGCCATTAATGTCTTCGTGAAGGTCAGCGTCATAATACCATGGTTCCATGAAGAACTGTATATTTTATTCACTATTTCGAATGAGTTTGATGTTTCTTTAAAATAATTTTATCTCTTATAACACGAAATATATTGAACCAATTTTGTATATATAGTCATGTATAAACTCCATGATATACTGCGTTAAAAGTACTAACTTTCCTACAGATATTAATTATTTAAGTGTCTGACGTATGCCATTCAAATTCTTTATAAAAGCTTTTTATATTTCATTGCATGTACATAATAGTACTATACTATTACATTTTCGTACAGAACTTAAGACTAATTATTCATTACAAGCAGATGAGCATGTGCACCCCACACATATATCCACCATTATCTTTTGTTTTTCTCGGTGATCGGTGAACAAAGCCACATATAAAGCTAAATAACGAGCTGATTATCTATATAAACATATAATCAATTACCTCTTTTCCTAATAAACCCCACGAATTATCTTTTTGCCAAATACCAATTTGTATGGCACATGCTCTCCTTCAATCTCCAAGGAGCATAATGGACCCCAACCTCCTCCCTCAAAATCTATGCTATGCTTTTCTTTCTCTGCTTTTATTCATTCTTGTTTCTTAAATGCTTTTGTAGGGTCATTTTCTCTCCACAAAGAAACTTCTCACACCTCTCACTCACCCACCCACCTCTGCAAAACGCCATAAAAATCACCACTTTTTTCCCCCTTCTCTCAGCAATCTCCATGGACAACAAAAGCCTCAACCAAGAGCCCCAAACTCTGTCACCAAGAGCAAGCAATTGCAATTCACCCGAATTCGAGTTTTGGATGCTCCGTAACCCGTCTTTCCCACAACCAAACCTCCTCTCCGCCGATGAACTCTTCGTCGACGGCGTCCTCCTACCCCTCCACCTTCTCCCCGCCACAAACAAATCCGACCCACCACCCGAAACCCCCAACTCAGAACCACCGGTTCATGACCCGGACCCGGAACGCGATTCGGGTCCCGAATCGTCACCCGCCATAACCGACTCCTCTTCCTCCACGTTCTCCTCCTCGAAGCGGTGGAAAGACCTTTTCAGAAAAAGTGAGAAGAAAAAGCCCAACAACAACCCTGAAGGAAAAGAGAAAGGGAAGAAGAAAGAGAGAAAAAACACAAGCGGTTCAAGTTCTGCAGAGTTGAACATCAATATATGGCCTTTCTCGCGGAGTAGGTCCGCCGGGAATACGGGCACCCGACCCAGATTATTTCCCGGAGCTCCGGCGACCCGAAAGGTTAACAGCGCGCCGTGTTCCCGGAGCAACTCTGCCGGAGAGTCCAAGTCCAGGAAATGGCCCAGTAGCCCGGGTCGGGCAGGGGTCCATGTGGGTCGGAGCAGCCCGGTCTGGCAGGTTCGCCATGGAGGTTCCAAGAATTCACAGCCTCAGATTCTGAACGCTGACAAAAAAGGGTCGAAGAGAGAAAACCCCACAATTCGCCGGAGCAAAGTGGCCGCCGGAGGAAGTGGCAGTTCAAAAGCCAGGGTTTTGAATCTGAACGTGCCCACGTGTATTAGTTATAGACACCCCTTGAGCTGCAGAAGCGACGAAAACAGTGCCATTAGTTTGAGTGGCGCCGCCACCACCGACGGCGGCGTCCGTGGCAATAACGGTGGAGGCAACGGTGGTGACTGTAATGACGGAGGAAGTGGGGGTAATCTTTTTAATCTGCGCAACCTCTTCACCAAGAAAAGCATCTTAACCTCTCATTAGTGTTAATTTTTAACTAGCCACACGTTATATGATTATTTACTACTACCTTTTTTTCTTTTTTCTCCCATGAAATTAACTTTTTTGGGTTTTTCTTTTTAATTTTTCTTATACATAAAACTATAAGTTGCCCTTTTTATCATACTGTGTTTGTATTTGTATGTAACTGAAAAAGGTATCTCTTTCTGACTTACATATTAATTAGGATTTAGAATTAGATTTGTTAATGCCATAAAGCTATCTTTTTGTATTGTGCTGCTCATGTAATCTGAAATGCTTTATCAGAATGTATTTATTATGTTATTTAAGTATGGTGTGGACTTTCTCTTTCTACACGTGGGCCTGTTAGCTGCTCTTCATTTTTTCCTTTTATCTTTTTTCTGTTATGCTTTAGTTGTTAGAAAAGAGGCTTTGCTTTTTGTGAATTGGGAGTATAAATAAAAGGAGAAAGTATTTATCTTTTAAATGATACCATTTATATTTTTTCACTCTTACAAAGAAGCGAGAGCCATATCTTTATTTTTTTGTCCATTCTCTTTTCTCTTTTATCTATTTTTTTTTATCACTTAAAATGATACAACTTTACATCCTTTAAAATGACACACAATCTTATCTAAATAAAAAGAACAAAGTATATTCAAATGTCAAACTTTCATAATCTTCTAATTGCTTTCTGTAACCTTTAATTCGATTGCAAGGGAAGTAAGATGCTTATTTAGAAAGATTCAGAGTATGTTTGATTGTGTTTTGATTTTTTGTTCTTAAAACTGTTTTGTAGAATAATTACGGAAACAGTTGTTTTTATGTTTTTTGTTTTTGAAAGTTAAAAACCAAAACAGAAAATAAGAAGAACTCAAACATATTTTTTAAATTTGATTCTAAAAACAAAAAAATCGTTACAGTTTTTAAAACTTTTTTTACTAACCAAGCCTTACGATTTTTTATTTTTTATTTTTTTGTTTTAAAAATTAAAAAACTATTTTTAAAAAGAGTAATCAAACATAGCCTTATTTAGCACAACTCTGTTCGGAGAGCTTTTAGTAAAGGGCATAGTTATTGATTGTTGAAAGAATTGAATGCTCTTTAGTCTTTACAGAGGCTGTCTGCAACTACTTCAGCTTCTTTGCTGTCATGCATGATGTGGCATGAATTGGATTGTGTAATATTGATTTTTTTTCTTTTAGTAATTTATTTCTATTTGTAATTGTATATGGGACATTTTATTATTATTATTATTATTATTATTATTATTATTTGTTTGCCCTCTCCTCCCTCCTTAGCCGTATAAAAATGAAAGGTTCCCAATACATAACATAATGGTTCTAATTTCACTCAGCTTTTGAAAGGGATAGACAATATTCATCAATTTTGATAACATGACTAATAAACGCCTCTCAACGGTTCTGAAGTGCAAGAAAAATGTTCTTACGTTGGGTTAATTAGTTGGATAAAACTCACTGTACGTTAGGTGTGTACAGGTTTAATCATAAAAATGTCATTAAATTAGAGTGTAAGTATATATATATAAAAGATAAAATTAAGTGTAAAAATAATTGTGTATATATAACATTTTTCTAACTGTTTTTGCGGGGAAAAAATAGTCCTGAATGCGTTTGAAACTCTCTCCAATCTATCTGTCTATATGTTGTCTTCCATTAAGTGTTTCTCCTTTAAAGAGTTTGTTTAAACTTTTAATGGATAATGGACTCTCATGCAATAAAAAATAGTAATCTTCTATCATAGACATGATCTTAATGGATTTCACATTTAAAAGGCTTCGTTTTTTTTGCGTTATTGCAGATAAATTATCTGCAGTAAGTCTAATATGACATCGTTTTAGGGCAAAAATTATGATATTTTTGTAATTTTAATTTATTTCAGAGTTATTATAGTCTTTATAATTATAATTTTTTAATATTTCAGTCCCAAAACGATGTCATTTTAAGAGTAAATGCAGATAACTTATCTGCATTAATTGAGAAAATATTTCTCTTTTAAAGAAAAAAGAAAAAAAAAATAAAGACTCAAATGTCGATGAATGTGTGGCATGATAAATACTTTCTTATGCAACATGGAAAAAATATTGTCATTATATAATATGATCTAATTCATTAAAATTTAATGAAAAAATATACGCTTACTTGTTTACTTTAATAATTATTTAGCACATAGATTTATTTAAATTTTTAATTAAAAATAATGATGTATGAAATTTTATTGACGTATTATACGCAACTTGCGTAACATATTAATGCAAGAATATCTCGCTTTTAATAATGATAATACTAATTTAGTAGTCTTTCTATAATAATAATTTTTGAAAATTTTAAACTTGACCTAATTAAGCATGTTTTGTAAAAGGAGTTTGTATTTGTCATTTAACATGACACAACAAATTTTCTTACACACACAATATTTTGTGGGGCTTACACTTTTTGAAAAAAAAGAAAATTATAGCACGCAAAACAAATCTCTATAACATTACAATCACTTTTCCTACAACATAACTCTTATAAAAATTTTGTAGAAGATTTCATCTAATTTGAATATGAAATGAGTCACGCTAAGACCAATATAAGTCAAGTGAAAAGGTTATTATGAGTCAACGAACTTGTCAACTTCTCCACATAAAACTCACTATTACAATCTAAAACGAAGATGCTTTTTATGATTTACACAAGGGGCGTTATATTTATTACTATTTTTTCTTTTTTGGTTGAAATATTTATTACTATTCTAATTTTATTATTTTTACTATTTATTTAGTTATTATTGGATCAGCTTAAAACCAAAGGTTTAAAAAGAGTAAAAAATATTATTAATTTTAAATTAATGTAATAATAATCAAATAGGTAGTAACAATAATAAGATTAAAATAATAATAAATATATTTTTCCCTTTAAACAAAAGTAATACTATTGTAAAATGAGAATTTAAAAAAAAAATTATTATTATGATGTTTCCAAATTTGTGTAATAGACTTTGTTTGCCACACACGTACGCTAATACGCTTTCTTTCTTTTTTAGTTAATTTATCCGTAATTGCCTTTTTAGTCAGGATATCTAAACTCCTCTCAAAGATGATATATGAGGATTAAACCGATACTCTTTTCTTTCTACTTACTCAGCTCCTCTACTACCAACTGAATTATCATTATTTAGTACATTAATATATATTTTTATCGTATAAATTGTAAGTAAAATATTATTAAAATATTTAACTGTAACAAAATTTTCTGCGTGACTTAATTATCAAACAATAATGAATTTCATGTTACCATTGAACCGTCTCATTCGGTTCAAGTTCTAACCTCAAATAAATTAAGGAAGTATATCCATCTTTATAAAATGTAGAATCGTCTGTATTGATTTGAGAGTAAGATATTTTTTTATTGTATCTATTTTTTTTTATCTGACATATGACTTTGCAATTGAAAAACACGTATATTTTTTGCTCTTTAATTATTTATCAATTCAATATTTATTTTGTATCTGTTTTAAATTTTTTTTATCAATTTCCAATAATTTGCTAAAAATATTTTTAAATAAAATTAATTAAGTATTATATCTAAAATAATTAATGAATAATTATAATCATTTTCATAATTATCTTCAATGTACATTGTTTTTTTAAAAAAAACCATGCATTGTTCAGAATACTAACTAGTTATAAACCATTTGTATATGGGCACTTTAAAAAAGTAATTGCAATTCGATTTTTTATTTGTTTTTTTAGAGATATCCCAATCAGTTTATAGTTTCGCGATTAGTTTAATTCAGGAAGAGTCCTGAAATTGAAGTTTTAAACTGTTCCTAAAGAGAATTAAACACATACTCTTACTTCACTTACTTTTTTTGACACCAATTATTCTATTACCTCACTTACTTAAATTTTTGACACCAATTAAACTACTATTATTTAGTTGCGATTCGATTTATTAACATTGTGTTAATTTAGTCTTTAAGCGATGATCCTGTCCTGAAATGGGGTCAAGTACCCAAAGAAACTTTTTGACAAAAACCATGTACGGTTTTTCCAACGTTTTGAAGGGTGAATCGCACAATTTTTTTATCGGTGGGAAACAAACTTATTTTGATCAATGCCTCTTAATCACACACATTGGAGCTTCAAACACGCGGGCATACATCTCTAGTTTATAACATAATTGGTAGGGTATAAATGGGCCGAGTGATTTGTCGTGAGCCCAAGATTTGACTTACTTTAAATTTAGTTTGACCTGACTTATTTAATAAATAGAATGAGTTTAAGCTGTAAAAAAAATTATTTAGCAAATAAGTCCAAGCGTAATTTAATAAGACTTGACTTGAAAGCCCATGAATTGGCCGGATATATTATTCACTGAATCATTAACCCTACTTTTCTAACCCAATTTTTGTACTATTATCTACTGACATTCTTTCATGGTCACGGTTTCACAAACAAATTCTCTGACAATTGGTCTCTCATTTCCTTCTTCGACCACTCACTTTTTCAAGGCTTTACTCTAACCTTCTACTTAGCACAACTCTAGTAACCAATAACCATCTTTAACTCCATAAGCAACTGACCAAAGCTATCTAGATAACGTGAAAGATGTAATTATATGTGAACTAGGTGAGTTCTATGATTGTTTTTTCTCTGACGAAGTAATACAAAATTTGAGCATTTATAGTCTCAACATTTGGACGTATGTGAGTTTGAAAAAAAAAATATTTTACAATTATAAATGAGCTAAACCAAGCTCAAATCAAACCTTTAATTTTTCATAAATAAGTCAAGTCAAATTTAGAATTTAACTCGTACTAGATTAATAAGACAAGTCAAACTCAAAATATTTTGTATAGGCTTAACTCGACCGAATTACACCCGTAATTTTTGAAAACTAAACTAGTGTAATTTTTAGACTTGATGGAATAAACTTCTTTATTTGTTAGGAGGAGCGAGAGAGAGGAGACCATGGCCTCATCCAGATTCAATGTTTCAAACCTCTGGTGCTTGGCTTAGCAACTAGATGCCACTTGATTTGAGCTAAGACACGCGGGTAATTGAACAAACTCGAATTGCTAAAAAAGTAACAATTCTAGCATTGGAATTCAGGAAGCAGTGGCACTTACATTCTGTAAACATGTGGCCCATAATTTAAACCATTCTGTAATGTCCCAAATACTACCATTTGTTTTCCTCAATATTCTTTTATCAATATTTTGGTTAAATAAGGGTTTCTTTCTATGATGAGACTGTAAATTAAAGTGCTTTTTATTTTGTTTTGGTTTTTGTCATGATAACCGGATAGGAAAAGCCGGAAGGGACCAAAGAATTCTACACTTCCTCATGTTACCTGCTTGGACCTTACAAATCCAGGCCCAGCAGACATGTTCTTAT